TGTTAAAATATTCTTTCAAATTTATTTTTTGAGCAACAGGTTCGGTTAAAGTTACATAAAATAATGGTTATCCCAGATTCAAACCAAAAAAACTGGTTTGTGGACTTGCTTTTTAAAGTATTTGGAGGCATAAACGGGTCTATTTACTTTACCTAAGATTGTCTTGAAATATTGTGTTCCGATTAATAAACATATCTGAATAGTTTTTGGTATAATAAAAAGAAAACCCAAAGGCATAGCAAAGTTTTTAACCAATGCAATTTCCCTCTGCAATTTGAATTGTATTTTTTTTGCAATATTATTTTATTGGAACTCATTGCATGCCCGACTGGCGTTTCGTCTAATTAATGTTCAAATCGGCCCATGGTGACATACGTTTCATGATCCCCGCTCCGCTTGCCCCGCGGCGCGGCTCCACTTCCTTATGAGGCTACTTGGCTCGTTAACATTTTTCCCACAGGCTGCCAGCAGTGAACCTGCTGCTGCTGCTGCTTCTCGCTTGGGTTTCTATTCAGATGCGTTGGCTGTGCCCATGGCTGTGCCTGTGCCTGTTCCTGCATCTTATTTATTGCATATAAAGCGACACCTTCAACCGGCTGCCCCCAAGGAGGAGGAGGAGGAGGAGGAGGAGCAGCCTGTCCTTCTCGTCGTGCTCTCAAATGACGTCGTCAACGTCGCCTGAGCAACGTTTTGGCATAAATTAAGGCAGGGCATTTTCTGTTTGCTGCTGCAGCTGGACAATGCTCTGGGGGGTTAGGGCGTGGCAAGGGGTGGCGTGGTAGGGTAGCGGCTAAAAGGGTTTCTCTCAGTCGGTGTTTGCGTAGCATTTTGTCACACGTTGCTGAAAGCGACGCCAATTTGTCTGAAATGTTTTGAATTCTAAAGCGTTGATGATGTGAGCGGGGGGAGGGAGGGGGGGGGGGGAGTATGGAGGGGCCTTAGCGGAACTAGATAGCAACGTGCTGCACGTGCTGAATGCCGAATGCGGATGTGATGCAACTCCTGCTGCAGCCTGAGCTGTTTTCTGTTTGCATTCGGTGGGTCATTCGTTGAGTGGGTCGCCAGGCAACACCTCCAGCTATTTGGCCTGCTATTGTCCGTGTGTGTGTGTGTGTTTGTGTGTGTTTGCCATTTGCCTCTTTCATATTCACACGAGCAGCTCACAGCTCACAGCGCACAGGCCGCACTGTGAGTCAATCAAATTGCTGCCAGCCACATTCACAGTCGCAGTCGCAGTCCATCGCCATGGACATCTGCCACGGCCACAGGCAGCCGTGTGAATTATGCGCCGATAAAGCTGCCCCGTTTTGGGGGCCAGCTCGTTACCCATATTGTGTTGCAGCCGCCGCCGTCGCCGTCGCCATCGCCGCCTGAAAGCAAAACACCTGCTGCAGATGCCACAGTCCGTTTGTCCGTCCGTTTTGGCCCAGCTCACACATTGATCTTATAGCAACGCGCGCGCACACACCCAAAATGAAAGAGTAAGGCCCAAAAAAACAAGAAGAAAAATTTGTTCTAATCGAGCATGCTCGACTAGCGGATTCCCTACGTCTTCGCTAGCCTGCTTCCTTCTGTAGGACAGACTCTAGCTCTTAAAATATATTTTCTGGCGTGTTCAGCTATTATAATCTACGAGTTGGGCTTAATGTGTATATGCGAGATGTATATATTTATCGATTTCTGGTTAATCTAAGAAGTTATCGATATGTTGATGTAAACGCGAACCTTAGCTCTTAAAATATATTTGCCTTAAATTGCCTGCAAAATCTAGTGTGCTCAGCTCTTAGAATCTACGATTTACTAAGGATTGATATCCATATTTATTGATTTCTTGTCAATATGAAAAGTTATCGATAAGTTGATGTAAACGCGAACTGCGTGTGATGTATATGAAACGCTACAGATTTTGTATCTCTAGTTCTTATGACATTATAGTAATGCTTTATAAGCTAGAGCTAGACATCGATATTAGTCGATTTTCGGGCTTTGGCAAAACGGGAAAGTTATCGATAATTTGAAAAAAGCTCGATACACGATATATACCGATATCGGTATATATAGCTCTACAATTGGGTAGATATTGTAACTAAGATATGTGATATATGCAATTGAGAGGGTGAGCATCGATATTTATCGATTGCAGGGAAACTGGCCGAGCTGTCGATATTTTAAAGTAAACACTTTCTAGCTATGGTGTATGAAACCCTGCTACATGAACACCTCTAGCTCGTATAGTCTGTAAGACAGCTGCAGCTTGTCTGTGCTGACTGATCAAGATAATATATACCCTTCACTCTCTATGGGTACAGGGTATATATGGTATATAGAAAGAAGAACCAAGAGCATCAAAAGCAGAAGAACTCCTTTGAGCAGCGACTGCCGTGCTACGTAGCCTGCGCTTGGCGTTTGAGTCCCGAGTTGAGTCTCTGCTTCTTATCTATAGGCTCCATGGACTGGATGCCTGTGCCCGGCTGCTGCTGCTGCTGCTGCCTTGGCCTTGGGCCTTGGGCCTTGGCTTTAGCTTTGGCTGTCGTTTTTCTTGGCCATTTATTTACATACATTTCTGTGCGCTTGCAACTGGCTCGAGTCAAGGGCCGCAGCTCGCCTTATTGTCTGGCCACGACGATGCCGATGCGGACGCGGACGCGGACGACGATGTTGGCTGCTAATTTCGCCTTTTCACAGATTTCGCGTGGCTCCATTTGGTATTTTGTGTGGGTTGCGACTCAAGCAAAAGTCTTCGCCAATCGTTGACTACACTTTCATAAGGTTGTGCATTTAAGCTAGTTAAAAAAGCTTGCACAATGTAGACTGTTAATAAATAAATTTGGGTCAAATAATTCTATATATCGAACCAGATTTGTTAGACTCCAGTTTTTGGGTAGAGCTAAAATCTAGCCCGCTTTTTGTATAGGAAAATATTTAGGTTCTGCGATATCTTCAGTACAACGGGCAGCTGTGATTGAATCGTGATTTTGATTAACCTACTTGAGTATTCAATAGTGTATTGGGTCTTCGTTTTGTCTTACTTTTTTTTCCTGCTGTTCCTCACGTCTTGACTTGTGGGAGGTTCATGAAAAATTGAGCAAGTGCCGCACTTGCAATTTCAACAGCTCATCTGCCGCTGCGCAAAACAATTTTGTTTCTTGGCAGCTGCCAGTTTGAGCTTCGCCTGTTTCGTGGCAATATCTGAAATCCAGGGATTTACTTTTTCACTGCCTTTTGGAATTTGCAAACGCGCTGCGCTTAATTTTCAGTTGTCAGCAACGTGTTGTATGCACAGTGAGCGTCGCAAAATGATATCAACAACTATTCTGTTAAGAAATTTCTCCAATTTACTAAATATTTTATAAAGTTTTTATCGAAGAGAACAAAGAGTCGAGTCTAGGCTTTAAACAGGCGCTAGAAATAGTTAATACAACTATCACATATTTGATTGGATTTGATTTAAACGATAAACGTTGTCATAAGAGACAATGTAAATATGCTTCCAGTTAAGCCCTCCAATTAGTGAAAGTCCATGAATGAAAATTTCTGATATGCTTACAAAAAGCAGTCATATTTTAAAGGCTTCTATACATTCATGTTCCTTTAATTCAAATGAGAATATATTAATATATATTCAGCTATATCCTTAATGCCATGGAGAATTTATAAGTCTTAATATATATTTAATCTTATTATTATTCTCATTAGTATGGGATATAAATATCCACATACTAGCCTTATATATATACTTAAATTTTAATATACTTTAGTCTTTATATATATTTATTTGATATTATTATTCTCATAAGTATGGGATATACTTGGATCCTTGTCTTAGATATAACTTATACTATATTTATTTATATAGCTTTATATTTATATATTATTATTATTATATATTTTAAATATATTCTATAAATTCAAAGCTCGAGCTGCTTTTATTTATTTGAACACAAGTCTTAAAGTTGCAATATTACAAGCTTTATATACTTCTGTTCTTCTGTTTTGTTCAGTTTTTCAACTTTTGTCAAATAGTTGTTGTTTGCTTTGGAATTTTCTTTGGAATTCTGTCAATTGCAAATCCCTCAATTCGACCCAACTTCAATCAATTGAGACTTGGGCACAAATACCACAATACATCAGGCAATACAATTACTAAGCCCAGCTGGAGATTCAATATCCCGCACGCTCCCTTTCTCTCTTTCTCCCCCTGCTCCATTAGCATGTCATTGACCAGCTGCAATGCTCTGAGCTCACCTGCGGCAGATAAAGCTCCCAAGTGCGGCTGAGACTGAGGCTGTGGCATGAATATGCAGCTGATGTGCACTTTTTTATGCGGGTGGATAGGCTACACTACCACCCCCCGTCGCCTCCCCTCATCCACCAACCCCCCCGACAGTCAGCACCCACCCAGTTGACAGTCTTTTGCACTTGCCCAGGCTCTACTTGCAGTTGTTGTTTTTTAGCTGTTGGGTAGGAAAAACATACAAAAGCGATTCATAGATTTCCGTTTTGCTGCGCGCTACAAAACAATGGCATTTTCATGTTGCACGTAAAATGCAACTGCAACAACAACAATGGCTACAACAATTCGTTGAGGCACTCGCACGATAGAACTTAAGTGCAATTTCATTTTTTCCAATATTTTCTGCCATTGGCGCCCTTTTTTAAGTGTACAAAAACAATGCGCAGGGAAACAAGAATTACGAGAAAATGGTAAAAACAAAAAAGCGGAAGAAAGGAAATATCTACTGATACGAGAGGCAGCCAAGTGCCTTAGGATATCTATCACAAAACAATTTGTGATCTAATGGCATTGGAATGTTGCCATTTATCTATATCTATATTCCTATTTAGGTAGATAAGCAAACAATTTATTGTCCTGGGCGGGTATAAATAGTTGCTATGCACACCAATTGAGACACAGTTCTACTGAAGCTCTCAAGATGGTAAGTTGAGGAACTCCACTTTCCAGTAAGAGAATACTCTAATTATTGTGTTCTCCTCCAAAGAATAAGCTACGACTTGTTGTTTTATTGGTTGCGGTGCTGAGCACTCAGGCAAGCATTATCAGAAAACGTGAGGTGCAGCAGCAAGCCAATGTGGTGCCCCAGGTGGCTGAGAACCCAGTGCAGCCGGAACAGTCGAAGGTAGAGCAAGCCAATGAGGTGACCCAGCTTGCTGAGAACCCTGCGCAAGCTAATGTGGTGCCCCAGCTGGTTGAAAGACCTGTGTACCCGGTTCGATCGACGGAAGAGCAAGCCAATGGGGTGATCCAGCTGGCTGAGAACCAGGTTGCGCACCCGGAACAGTCGACGGTAGAGAAAGTCATTGTGGTGTCCCAGGTGGCTAAAAACCCTATCCAGCCGGTACAGTCGAAGGTAAATCCAGTTAATGTGGTGTCCCAGGTGGCTGAGAATCCTATGCATCCGGTACGATCGACGGTAGAGCAAGCTAATGAGGTCTCCCAAGTAGCCGAGACTCCCGTGCAACCTGTACCATCGACAGTGGAGCAAGCGAATGTGGTGCCCCAGCTGGTTGAAAGCCCTGTGTACCCGGTTCGATCGACGGAAGAGCAAGCCAATGGGGTGATCCAGCTGGCTGAGAACCAGGTTGTGCAGCCGGTACAGTCGACGGTAGAGAAAGTCAATGTGGTGTCCCAGGTGGCTAAAAACCCTATCCAGCCGGTTCAGTCGAAGGTAAATCCAGTTAATGTGGTGTCCCAGGTGGCTGGGAATCCTGTGCAGCCGGAACAGTCGAAGGTAGAGCAAGCTAATGAGGTCGTCCAGCTGGCTGAGAACCCTCTGCAGCCGGTACAGCCGAAGGAAGATCCAGTCAATGTGGTGTCCCAAGTAGCCGAGATTCCCGTGCACCCGGTTCGATCGACGGTAGAGCAAGCCAATGAGGTGATCCAGCTGGCTGTGAATCAGTTAGTGCAGCCGGTACAGTCGACGGTAGAGCAAGCCAATGAGGTGTCCCAGGTGGCTGAGAACCCTGCGCAACCTAATGGGGTGTCCCAGCTGGTTGAAAGCCCTGTGCACACGGTTCGATCGACGGCAGAGCAAGCCAATGAGCTGATCCAGCTGGCTGAGAATCCTGCGCAGCCGATACGATCGACGGTAGAGCAAGCTTATGACGTCTCCCAAGTAGCCGTGATTCCCGTGCAACCAGTACGGTCGACAGTGGAGCAAGCTAATGAGGTTTCTCAGCTAGTTAAGAATCCTGCGCAAGCTAATGTGGTTTCCCAGCTGGCTGAGAATACTGCGCATCTGGTACAGTCAAAGGTAGAGCAATCCAATGTAGTCTCCAAAGTTTCTGATTTTCCTGTGAAGACGGTTCGATCGACGGCAGAGCAAGCTAACGAGGTGTCCCAGGTGGCTGAGAATCCTGCGCTAGCTAATGTGGTGTCCCAGGTGGCTGAAAACCATGTGCAGCCGGAACAGTCGAAGGAAGAGCAAGTCAATGTTGTCTCCCAGGTGGCCGGGTTTCCTGCGCAGCCGGTACGATCGACGGTAGAGCAAGCCAATGAGGTCTCCCAAGTGGTTGAAAACCCTGTCCAGCCGGTACAGTTGAAGGTAGAGCAAGTCAATGTTGTCTCTCAGGTGGCTAACAATCCTGCGCAGCCCGAACAGTCGGAGGTTTCCAATGTAGCTAATGTGGTAGCCCAAGATGTCCCGCAGATAGTGCAGCAGCAGAAGCAGGAGGAGCCTAAGCTGTCCCATGTGGTGGCCAAAGAAGTCAAGGCTCAGCAGTCCCAAGCGTCAAATGTGTTGCCTAAGACAGCAGCTGTTCCAGTGCCACAAGAAATCCCTGAGATCGTGCAGTCCCAGGCGCCAAAAGTGATGGTCGAAGAAAAACCAGTTGCTGACAAGGAATTCAAGACAGTGCAGAAGCAAGCCACCAATGAGATCGCTAAGAATGAGATCACGGAGCAAGTCGTAGACAAAGTGGAGGGCACTGGCAATCAGGCTGTGAATAAGGTGCAGGCTGAAGGACGCAACAAATTTGAACTGGAAGGTGGAGAGTATTATCCGGACGAGTTTTTCATTGTCGATACGGATGCAGTGACTGCCAACAATACGCACACAACCGCAAAGCCGCCGAACAACACCCACATTCACAACCATTCGCACGATCATCATTATATACAATACAAGCCGGCGCTGTTTCCGCTGCCGCCACCATTCTTCGGAGGTTTCGTGCCACAGGGTTCAGGCTCAGGTTCTTACCATACCGACAACAAATATGGCAGTTGGCCCAGTTACAACAACAGCAACGTGGTCAACCCAGTGCCCCCTTATGGCGGTGGAAACGTTCATCATTCGTATGGTAAGCCCGGCTTCATTTCTCTACCTCTGCTGCCTATTCCCTTCTGGAAACCCCATGGCGGTGGTCAAGTCGTCAATTACACAGACACACAACAGACGGAACAGCTTTACAACAAAAAGCCCTACTATAACAATGGTGGTACGTACTACGATCCCCCGGAGTTCTATATACACGAGCGCCGCGCGCCCGAGGGTCAGGATCAACAACAAGGAGCACCCAATCAGCAGGCTCTTCAGCTAATCGGCCACATCTTCATCTACAAAACACCCGAGACTGCACCAACCCAGCCTAACCCAAAGCCAGCCGTACCCGTAGCAAGTGATGATAAGAAGTCTGAAGCAAGTAATGATAATACGACCAAGTCTGAAGGCTCTCCCATCAAAATCCATGAACAAGTCGGCAACTCTCAGCTGCTGCTTCAGCCTGTTCTTTATGCTCCGACCAACAATAAGGAAGAGGGCGGCTTCAGTCCCAACCAGATCAATGAGATCTACCGGAGTCTTCACCAGGTGCATCCCTCGAACCAGCAGCGCTCTAAGTCACCGGAGGCCAATGATGATAACGCTGTGCTCTTTGCCGTCGAGATACCCAAGCCAATCTATCGCTTCTTCAAGTCCATCGCTGGCGTCTTCACCTACTAAATATGCTCTCAATGACCCAAACGGAAACAAGAACAACAATCATCAACAATCGAACCTATTTCTAGTTCTAAGTAGATTTTAAGTCAAGCGGTTCAGTAAAAACGTTCTGCTCACAAGAATAATTAAGTGTATTCAATGGGTTAGGGGGGAATATAAGTTTATAGAGGGTATATAATCCTATAGATAATATACCGTATATTATCCTATAGATAATATTTTAGCGATAAGCTAAAAGAAAAAATAATACTTATCAACAATAGGAGTTTAACACCAGTCGTCAATCGAAGAGAGGTTAACTCCCTCTCTGGGGTTTAGAAAACCAGAGAGAAATGGAGCGCAAAATATTGACATAGAGGTATAAAGATAGGAAAAGAGAAATGTGTTCACAGTAAGTACTGTAAGAGGGACATATAATAAGGGAGGAACAGAGTACGGAAGATAATTAGGATAGTAAGAGATTTAAAGAGATTTAGGAATTAAAAGGAATAAAGAGAATGGGAAAGATCATTAGGTTTGGAGAATGGAAGAGAGAAAGAGTGTAATAGAGAAGAGTTAAAAGGAGAGAGAGATATATATATAGAGAGAGAAAAAGAGAGTGGGATAGAGAGAGTAAAAGAGAGTGAATGAGAGTGAATGAAAGTATGATAGAAAGAGAGTGTCATAGGAAGCGAGAATGTAATAAAGAGAAAATCTATTATAGAGAGAACGAGCGAGAGAGAGAGAGCGTGTGATGGAGAGAAAGAGAGGAGCACGGTCAGCGGGGGCGGTGTTAAATGATGTAGAGCAAAGCAAATAGATAAAGATTCCGTGTTACATATAGAGTCCTATACTATCGCATATACGGAGTATATTTTGTATGAGAGTGCGATACGAGGTAAAGTTTTATAGAAAATATATGAAAAGAAAGCCAAAAATGGAGAAATTCGGCAGGAAAATTTGTTAACAAAAGCTTTCCTTAGCGCTAGTCATCCAATCAATTTACACACATTTCAAGCTCAAACCTGAGCCATGTTCTGTTTATTCCCTTTTACCCTTTCACATATCTGCCACGAAATATGAAAATGTGTACGTTAACATTTTAATCCCACAAAAAAAAAAAATCCGACTGCACAAACTGGTTTGGCATTATGCAAAATCATATCAAAATTGTAATTCAGCTGTTCACCCTGAAAGTTCATTTTGTGTGTTTATTTTTTATTATGATATCTCATAGGGTTGATGTTCTTGTTGGCATTTGCCATTTTAATGAATACATAATTAGTCTTTTTGCCAAGCTTCACCCTTGCACACTCACCTGCAGCTGCTCTTGTGCACCTGCCCAAAATTCATTCATATTTGAATTTTCATGCAACATGCAACAGCACGTTGAGTTTATCAAAGTCTTTCCGTGTGTGTGTGTCCGTTTGGAGGGCTCAACATTGCTTATTGGTTCATTTCATGCTCTTCTCATGCAATATTGAGATAATGTTTGCCCGAGCTCATAATTGCAAGGATTACGCTGGCTCATAATATACGCCGGAGCCAGACCCGGAGCCGGAGCTCTGCTCTGTTTGTATTTCACTTGAAACGACGGAGGATGAGTTGTTGTGAGGGGGTCGGAAAATTGCTATTTGCTGATAGCGTTTATTTAATATTTAATTGATTTTATGCCCAAGCGATTTTTCCATTAGCCTGACACACAATCCCAGTTCCCACTGCCATACGGCTACCTGAACGGACGCTGGCCTCATACCTGTGCCTGTGTGTGTGAGAGAGCGTGTGTGTATGTGTGTGTGAGGGTGTGTGTGGCCATGCGGCGGGACTTATCTGATTACTTTGTTGCTTGGCATAATTAATGCAACCATTTTAATGCTGGACAGCGGCAACAGCTTTAAACTGCTGAGTGAGATACGTAAATGCATTAACAAACCATTTTTCATTATAATTCGCAAGCAGTTTAAGCGCATTTCGTATTAAGTTGGAATGAGAATCTGGCTTTAACTTTTGCTGTGCTTACCTGTATTTTTCCCTTAATATTGCAGCTATTTCTGTAGTTGTATAAAAACAATTCTTCGTCCTTCTCTCCTTATAATTCGCAAGCAGGTGGAAGTGCAGATCTAGCTATTACGTTTGCTGTGCTTACCTCTACTTGGTTTTCCTCAATATTGCACTTTTTACGTAAATGCATTAACAAACCATTTTTCATTATAATTCGCAAGCAGTTTAAGTGCATTTAGTATTAAGTTGGAGTGAAAATCTGGCTATTACATTCGCTGTGTTTACTCTAATTTTTTTCCTCTAATTTTTCCCCATAATATTGCAGTTTTTTCTGTATTTTTATAAAAACAATTCCTGGTCCTTCTCTTCCCTTCACGCCCACTGCCATAATCGAGTAGAACAATGCATGCCACAGCTTCCCTGTGGTCGCTGCTGCGTGCCACTGACCACAAGAACCACTAAACAAGCGTCATGCCACATCATCATCATCAGCAACCTGATGGTCATCAGCTTTGGTCATCAACATTTGGATGTTGTGTGCTGGTCAACATCACGTATACGCAATGTGCTTTACCTCAAGCGCAAGCCTTTAAAGTGCGTGTGAGTGTGTGTGTGTGTGCACCCAAAAATCTTGGTAAAGGGAAATTGAAGCTCGTAAGCCGCAGCCGCCTTGCAGGACTTTTTAAGCAAAAAGTTTATTACCCCAAGGAGCTACGGAAGCAGCCCATAAATATATCATGAAATCAAAAACTTTGCCTCAACTTTTGCCGCCGGAGCTTCCTTTTGACAGAGCGTGTGTTCCCTTTGATTGCTGGTACGCCCACAGAAGCTCCCCTTGTAGCCCCACTCTCCCCCTCTGTGCCAATCACTTGCGTGTAAACGTGCTGTGCAACAAGGACTGCTCGCCTGGAAAGCTGAGTAATGCGCTTCCGTTTCCGTCTTGCCATTTGCTGCCCGGCTCTCCACATGACGTTGTGCCTGTCGTTGTGCCGAGCACTTCGACACAATTCGGGCTGGCTGCCTGGCCTTTTCGAGTCTGGACTCAATTCAATAAAAGTTGTGTCCATTTAATTTAAAATTCTCTCTCTTCCTCTCGCACACTCTGGCCTGTCCCTCTGCCTTGCAAATTAATGGCGTTAAAATTAGTGCCATAGACAAATTCCGCACTTGGCACCTGTCCGGTGAAAAGTTTACCTTTTCTTTTTCTTTATTTTGCTACCAGTTTATTTGGTTGTCACTTTGTGGAAAATTATGCCCAACCAGCGTCGAGGACTCTGGGGATGTTGTTGCTGCGGCGACACGTGTAACTGTAACTCTAAGTGGCTGGGCAACCTTTCAGAAAACTTTTACATTGAGGCCCCAACTTAAAGTTGTGCATTTTGCCACATTTTACAAAACTTATTTTTCGTATTTCTTATTTCCCTGTTTTACAGCACTGCCCATTGGCACTCGGGAGCGTCGCTTTTTTGGCATTTTACGCGCCGGCAAACGCAAGGACGGTAAGTGGAAAATACAAAATACAACATAGAACCCTAATGAAACCAATTAAGCAAACAGCCAGCCATACAATTTGTGGCGCTGGGCATCACAAAATGAAATATCAAAGGGCTAGACAAAGGGTAAACAAGCTGCAGCTGCACAGCTTCGGTATCCAATTCAATTACAAAATGTAACATATATAACGAGAAAGCGATAGGAATTCAACGAATTTTGCATGCACTGTAGCTGTATTTGGGTAAAAGCAAATCCAGTGTTGAGTTATGTCGGAGACTTTCTTATATAAATCTAGGCAGAAATATCCTGAAGACTTTTCTGTACAGCTGTTCGAGGTGAGCATCTCAATATCCATGGCAGTATTGAGTAATGCCACGAATAAGGCTGGATAAGGCTTAGAAAAATCTTGAATTGCTATTTCTATTCTTTGGCTTATCATTGCTAGTGTTGACAAATGCCAAAATATTTTTTAAAAGAGCTAGCATTAATTGTATACTTTGTTTTGGAGGGTTTTACAAATCATTGAGCAAGTTTCGGACCTGAATCAGCAGGAATTTTGGGAATATGCATATGAAACGAGCAAAAACTGTAATAAATAGTGTTGCAAAATGACATATAATCCAGGTATGTTCTGCAATGAACTTATCCAGTTACGAAAAGTTCAAATTTATGTGCAAGCTTTTTAAACAGTGTTTTTGCTAATTGAGATCTGTTCATCAATTTAATATATGTTCTATGTGAATGCTAGTGTTGCAAATTGTCATAAATACTACTTGAAACGCATCACGGAACTCTGAATTGAAGTTTTTGAAGACTGGTGCAAGTTTCTCTACAAGTTTCGTAGCTCGCATCCGTTTCTTGAGTTTTTTGAAGTGATTACCAGTTCGGGCAGCTCAACTAGACCCTAAATGCTTCACCTGTCCAGGGTAAAACAAAATTTGAAGTAGTCAATTGAAATTGTGCCAGTTTGAAGGCGTATTTGCTTGGCCAGCGACGGGGGTAGAGGGGGAGGGGCTGGGCTTTGCTGAACACAAAAGCCATTTACCAAAATCAATAGATTTATTTTGGACCGCAAGCCAGGAAACTGAATGCGGAGTTCTGGACACAGTTCGAGGCCAACAACTGGCATACAAATTGGGGCTTAGCAGCTCAAAAGATACTTTTGCATAGGGAAGTAAAAGCATTTTCCTGCCTGCCTGCCTCCCCTTCCCTCCCTTCCTCTGTCTTTCTCTCTCCCTCTAAGCTGGCCATTTGATTTGGCCAAATTGTTGTGCGCTTTGTGGCCAGGACTTAGGTAAAGTTGTGTACGCAAAGGCTTAAAATTTTTTAATAACTGTTCGCATTGACGGACAATGCCCCAGGCTCAACTCATCAGGGCGAGCGTCTCGCCGCTCCACGTGCTCCACGAGTGGATTATCGGGTTCTCTGGCTGTGCACCAGATTGTTGGGCTTAAGCATCATTACAGGCTAAATGCCTTTAAATGGCCGCATTCATATCAATTGCAGCTCAAGCTGGCGCCAGGCCCACCCGTGGAGCGCGCACATCTCGCCTGGCCAGGCAGACGCATTCATCATGCCGCAATCCTTCCCGACCTGCTCGCTCCCCCCTGTCGCCTTCAATTAAACGCAAATTATTCTGCGCTCAGCGAGCGGCACCTGTCCGGGTCTCCCATTTGGCCAGTGATCAATCCAACTTATGTCAGACTTGGCTGCTGCTGCTCCACTTCAAATTAAGTCCCGGGCCATCCGGCTGCTGACATTTTAAATTGATTATGGGTCATGTCCGGCGGGGCTAATGGGCATATTACACAGTAGCTAAACGTCAGGTTGCAAGTCAATTGATGTTGGTTAATCAGAAGGATTAGCTTGCAAATTAAAGTCTAAACAGGCTTCTGCATTTAAAGGCTATTTGTCAGGGTATGTGCTGTGCCAGTAGTGGAAATAGTGATTGTCTACTGTAGTCGTACTGTAACTTGATATAATAATATTCCTTAAAGTCTTCCTAGTTGTAATGGAGAACTGCTTAAAAATTGCCTCAAGTGATTTTTATTTTCTGAAAGTATTTATCGGAAAGCTACTCCAAAATGAGTTTGAAAATATATTCCTTAGTTAATTCATAAACATATTAATGTTGCTATTTCGAAATATAATTCCTCATATTATAATTTACTTATACTTATTATACCTTTTCGTATTCCGAATACCAGTTATCATATTCCTAATATTACTCCTTATTTTTCTTTTTATTATATTCCATTCCTTCTTTTAATTCCTGATAATAATTTAATGGTACTCCCAATTATTTTCCTAATTCTGTTCTTGTTCCTAATAGGACTCCGTATTTAACTACTAATAATTTTTGAATTCCTAATAGAACTAGAATTTATTCTCCCAATGCTTTTCGAGTTTCTAATAGTAGCCGCTTTTTAACTCCTAATTCTTTTTAAATTCCTAAAAATACTCCTAAATATACAACTATTTCATTTCATGTGCCTCATAGTACTCCTTATTTAACTCCTAATTATATTTAAATTCCTAAAAGTGCTCGTAATTATTCTCCTAATTCTCTTCAATTTAATTCTCTTTTGTGTTCCTCATATAATTCCTTTTTTAACTCCTAATTCTCCTAATGGTACTCCTAATTATCCTCATTATTAATTTCGTGTTCCTAATAGGACTCGTTATTTAACTCCTAATTCTTCTAGATTTCTAATAATTCCTAATTATTCTCCTACTTCTTTTGATGTCCCTAATAGTACTCTTCATTCAACTCCTAATTCTTTTCACCTAACGGTATTTTCCTAATTATTTTGGTATTCCTTATGGGACTCCTTATTTAACTGTTAATTCATTGCGAATTCCGTAAAGTACTGCTAATTCTTTTTGGCTTACAAATACTACTTCTATTTCCCTATCGTATTTTTTAGGGTACCCCCAATTTAACTTCTTATAGTATGCCTTATCTTATCTTCCATGTCTTATACATATTCCATTCATTGCCTTTTGTCACATTTAATTGTCCACTAAAATATGCCATGGTCTCGGCTCAAGTAGAGAGCTATGCAAATGCTTTAAGCTAAGGTTCAAGTGCGCGACTCATCGTAGTCATGAGTGCCTTTCCCTACCCCGTCTCCAGTTCCCCCAATACTCAGAGGTATCTCAAATTACAACAAAGAGAAGAAACAAATAAACAAAAGGCACAGAAACAGACGCCAAATTCGAATCGGATTTTCGATTTCGACGGCGACTACGAGACAACTTCATAGCTGGCATTTTTTACCATTGCCAGACGAAGGCAACGGGGCGCCGGTGGAGTTGGGGGAGAACATGGGCGAGGATGTCGACATGGCTTCAACAATTTTGTAATTACTTTGAGCCGCATGCAAATGCAGCGACGACTTCTCAGTTGGTAGTTGGATAATTTCTCTGGGATTGGAATGGGGATGCTGCGGAGCGGACTGTAAGCTGTGGGCGGCTGGAATTTTATAATTAATCGGCAACGTTTTTCACACGACTTTATTCACAACCAGGCATCCCTGACATCAATGAACTCGTCCCGCTCCTCCGCATAGTCGGTGGCCACCGCCTCCTCCTGGTCTTGGCGCGCGTAATGATTGAATAGCATGTCCCGATGCGATGGCATCAATTTGCCGCTCTCGCAGCCATGCCGGTCCTCATACGTGATCTCGCCCAGGCCCATGCCGTGACTCTGGCCGTGACTGTGACCGTGACTCTGGCCGTGACTGCCGTGACCCATGCTTATGCCGCCAACGCCCCCATGACCGTGGCCGCCACCGCCGCCTTCGCCGGAGAAGCCCACCACCTTATAGACGGTCTGCTTGATGCCGCCGGCGCTACCGCCGCCAGAGCCGTGCAGCACCTTGTAGACGGTGTGGGTGTGATGATGCGTCTTCATCTTGACGGGCACGTGGATCACCAGCCGGCGACTGGTGATGCGACGCGCCTGCAGCATTGTGGCCGTCAGCAGCAGCAGAGCGAGAAGATTGCTCGCTTTCAAAGGCGGCGCGGAGAGCTAAGGGAGTAGAGAAAGAGAAAGAAAGAGAGAGAGAGAGAAATCAGAACTTAGAGAATTAGATGAGGTGCAAAGAGAATCTTCCCAATATGGCAATTGAGCCTATTGATTCCATATTGATTTAAAGGGAAATTCCACTGGCAGAATGTTGTCTACATTTCTGATATTTTTCTAAAATTGAATACACATATTCAAATAAATGAATAATTATTCATTCATATTAATTCATCATCAATTATTGGAATAATTATTCATAACAATTGAAATGATGACAAGAATGTTAGTGCTTGTCAGTGGAATCCGTGAATGCCATTCGTGCGACACTTTTATAGATCAAACACATTCAAAGTGACCAAACAATTGGCCAATGGAATCAATGAATGACATTCACTTTAAACTCTATTAAGTGGCATAGATTTATAAAGTTTTTATTTCGCTCATCATTCAAAATGACAGATATGTTTGTAATTCCACTGACTGAATGACATTCGCCTCATTTTATATGCTAAAATTTGTCTTTAAATGAATTTTAGTCAATTTATCACATTAATTTCTTTTGGATATACTTCAGCTATACTTTTCTGATTATATTCAAGAGTTCTTTTCTATTCACTCCGTTCATTCACTGCACTCACTAATTATTCACTTAACACTCACTTGTGTCATTTTGATTTTGGCTTGTGTTGTTGTTGTTTAATCGTTGGCTGCGCTGCTGCTTGCCACCGTTTGTGGCACGTTCGCTTTTCGCACTGTCTGGGCGGGCTGGCGGCTGGCGAGCTTTTATATCGGCTGGCGGCTGGACCCAGGTTCAGTGCACCGTGCTAATGTGGTGCAGCATGTGGTGCACAGCCAAGTTATTAACGAGTGTCGATTGCATTTGATGTGGCCGCGCTGCAGCTTCCATTGCCTGCCACATTTGCATGCCACACACACGGGCGTCCCGCATTACGTGTATTTAATTATGATTAAACAAGTTGTTGCCGCGCTTGTTGTCGGCCAGGGGAGTTGGGTGGGCGTGCCCGTTGGCTGCTCACTCGTGCGCTCCACAAGGTGGCAACAATTGAACAATTTTCGCCACAGCTTCTCGCCTCGCAATCTGCGGCATGCAAAAACGGAAGCAGTCTCCACCAGGCGCCCCTTAAAGCAAATGCCAATCATTCAACCAAAAATAACTAAATCCATAGTCAAATATAAATACTGTATGGCATCGACTCGGCAATCGTACAGCATGCAACATTTTTATGAAACTGCGCGAAATGCGGAAAATGCGACACAGTTTTTCATATCTTTGCCACTTAATTATTGTTACTATTATGCTTAGCTTAAATTACATATCTCATATGATATATGTAATCTATAAGTGACAGGCTTTGATTAGGTTGATTATGATATCTCAAGTTGAACACAATTTCACATACATTTCACAGAATTATCGTTGGGAGGCAGCAGCTTTAAACTCCATTCTTTGACTTAAGCTTGATCAGATATGTTGACTATGTTAGACAGCAGTGGAAACTCATTTATATTCGGTGTTTAAAGTCCGATCCTTCCTACATTTTCAAAGCATCCAACCATGTGTATATACCAAAGCGTAGGGCTCTTTGTTTTTTGAGATTTTTTCCAATTCCAGGAAGAATGGCAAAGCGATTCAAAAAAATTAAATTTCTTTTATCTGTGTATAATATACGAGAACCTTCAAACAAAGTTGGGCTTATCTAGATCTTATAATCTTCGAGTTATGCTTAAAAAACCAAGACGTAAAATCGATATTTATCGATAATATGAAAATCGAAACATTTGAAAAACTCGTTCTGCATACAGTATACGAGAATATATATATATCAAATATTTTGTCTAGCTCCTTTAGTTTCCGAAATCGGAGTGTTCAAACAGACAGTCGGACATATCTAGTTATAGTTCTGATCAAGGATATATGTATTCTTAGAGAATATGTGTCAAGAATATATACTGATCAAGACTTTATACTTATATGGATTATGTTTTCAAGGAAAAAAAATAAAAATAAATTCATTTAAATGCTTTCAATTACGTTTTTACTCGATCCGCAACACATTTCTCTTTTCTCGAGCATTCCCTTTCTTTTCTTTAGTTACTCCGTGTGACCGTATAATTTTATCTTTTATGACTAATGTTATCGATATATGTCTATCGCTAGTATATATATTTATCATTATGTTTGGTCACACTGATCTTGTCAGTGAATTTAAATTCAAATTTTAAACGTTTAATTGTTAACCTTTATACATACCTTATAGAGTCGGATGCGCTTCCTACTAAATCTTACTTACATTTCAGTTTCGCAGCCTTGTAAGAGTTAGATGTGATCCATTAATCCTGCGCCGTTGCTCCCACCTTAAACACGTCGGAATTTTCCAAAAAGATACTCTGAAAAAAGTCTCATTTATTGGATTAATTTAAGTTTGAGCTCTATCAAAACTCTGGAATATTCTGTTATTCCCCCAAAGAACTGTCATTCTCATACCTCCAACATTCAACTAGTTCCCATTCACATGCGCTGCTTTATGTGCATTTAATAACCCGGCTCAAGATGTGCGCCCATAAAAGTGAATATCCTTTGAGATATGCTTTGCCACCAAGATGCCAGCTAATGAAACGAAAGTTTTTGCTATCTTTATCTTCTTATTTTGGGGGACCAGAATAAACTGCAGCACTTGGCAATAAGTAAGCCCGAAATGCGTTCTGCAGAACGTGGCCCATTCATTCTATAACTTTATGGGCAATCAGCCGCACTCCAATTGTCCAAAAACATGCCCAGGGAGCCGGGACACGGGGTCGGGACTAGCCTGCCTCAATGCCAAAATGTTTGTCCGGGCGTAGTTATAATTTTGATCAACTTTTATAAGCGTGGGCGGGGGGAGGAGTTGCGAAGGTGGAATATGCTGCATGTGGCAGCTAACAGCTGCACGAGTTGTAAGTTTTGCCGTTGTTGTTGTTTTTGTTGTTGTGCCTAGTCATAAACTGCATGCGAAATTGCCAAAAAGCACACACTAAATACACACGCACACCCCGGCACACTCGCACACCCCGTCGGAGGTGTACAGCAGCAAAAAGTTGCTCATTTACAGCACGGGTCGCGTGTGGGCGGGGCAGTTAGTGGGCGGAGGACTAATAAAACGAGGCGCTGACAAGCCGCAGCAGCGAAAAGTACAAACCCGGCCACCCACTGAAAGAGCCTAAAAGCCTAGAGCTCCTAAACGGGCCGTAAATCCAGGAGCTGCGCCGCTTTTACTAGCAACTATTCCACCAGCCCCCCAACCAGCCCTCCCCCAATCGCCCTGCTCCTAAGTAGACTCGTAAATTTTAGGAAATTACAACATGAAAGTCCTAGCGAGGACAGCGACTCGACTCTAAATTAAATAAAAATGCGCCGGGCTGGGAGCCGGGTCCGTTCGACCAGGTTGGGTCAAAAGTTTCTGCACCTGTTGGCCAATTGTGATAGAGGAGGGGGGGGGGGGTGTTCCGTGCAATCACAAGTTGGCGTTAATTAAAGCCATAACAAAAGCAGCCAACAGCAGCTTCCAGCCAGCTGCTCGGCAGGCTCGCAGAGCCGAGCAGAGACCTTCTCGGGATTGGGATCGGGATTAGGAGACGCGCGCAGATTTGTGGGCTGGAAAAGTTTGGGCCATACGCTTCAGATTTATGCCAAACTAAAGCACTTGATGGCCAAGTAGTTGGCATTTAATAGCTCTATTATTGGAGTTTCGGAAAGTGCCGTAACAAATGGTTTACGCTTCATGCTCACGCTAGAAAAGGGAGAGAGAGAGTGGGACGCAAATGGGAATAAAGTTGAGGCCAAATTTGCTGCAAGTGGCACAGAGTTGGAGCTGGATTGATATGCAAACAATATGTGCACAAATTTGAAAGAGGTGGAGCTATGAGGCATGCATTTAAATATAAGTTGGAAAGGGTGTTAGCAATGTCTGTGATTGGATAAAGAAGTTATCCGGCTGCCTATAAGTAATATATAATTTTCCTTAAATATATTTTATATATAGTTGAAAAGCGTGTTAATAAGTCTGTGATTAGAAAAATGAGTTTTCATTAAATATATATTTTTCTTTAAATATATATTTGATCATCAGTAAAACGTTAATCAATATCTCATACATTATTAACCGCCTGTATTAATTTTTCAGTCATTTTCATTCTAAAGCTATATGTGCTCAAATGTACGAAAAAGTGAAAATATGTTTAAGTTTTCGAATACCTTATAAACTGAACCAATGGAAAATGGGCAAAAGGGTATAATGATTGTGTGAAAATGTATGTAACAGCCAGACAGAAGCATCTACGACCCCTTAAAGTATATATATTCTTGATCAGCATCAATAGCCGAGTCGATCTAGTCATGTCCGTCTGTCTGTTCGTCTGTCCGTCTGTCTGTTCGTTCGTCTATATGAACGCAAGAATCTCAGAACCTTTAAGAGCTAGAGACTTGAAATCTTAAACTTAGTTCCTCCTAATGCCGGCGCAGCACGAGTTTGTTTCCCGTAATCTATAGCTTGCCCCCTTTCCAAGCAATCGTTAAAAATCGATATCGAAAAACTGTTTCTTTATCAAAACTTAGGTTTTAATAGCTAGGCTTACCAAATTTAGCATGCACTTCGCTGTTGGTAGAAGAAGGTTTAGGGTATACCCTAGTCGGGCACTAAACTTCCCTGGCAAGAGCACGCTTTCTTGTTATTTCTGTTTAAATCGATGCGCATATTTAAACTTCGATCTAGACTTTAGCTGTATTTAATATTGCAACTCATAGAATGTAAAAGCTAAACTAATTTTGTGTATAGGTTCTTTTAAAGAAAACGCAGTTAAAGTATATTAAAACATACATATAATTAATTAACTAAACTGTTCCTAAAATCAATCAAATATAAAATAATTTGTGCACCGCGCTGGTTCAAACCCCACGAAGTGTTTGGTTCAAACCCGACCAAGTGTAGTCGAGGGAAAATATATGATTAAAATGATTAAATTTTAACTGAAACAAGGTTAATTATGCTTTCTACGTTGATATAAAAAGTATTTCAGTTAAATCTTGGATCTACGTGTGTTACCCAGAAGCTAAATCAGCTTTATCTCAGCCGCATCGCTACTCTAGAGAGAGAGAGGGAGAGGGAGAGAGAGAGAGGGAGAGAGAGAGTTTAGAATTCCCCATCGCTGCCTGCAGTCAAATGTTGTGCACATCAGCTGCCCGTCAAAGCCACCTGCGTATGGCTTGGCCCACCTGGTGGCCCACCAGCCGCCACCCAACCAACAGCCAGAACTCACCTATCCAGAATCTTGAAAGCGTGCCGTAGAATCTATCTGTGTGTGTGTCTGTGTGTGTGTGCTTCACAGTTTTTGGCCTGAAGGTGCGCGGGCAATAAATTTCGATTGCATAATTTGTAAATTGTTATAACCCGGTGAAATTACCATGAAATCTTTCACAAAAGCATTACAAAATCTGCCACTTTGGACGCATCTCGAAGGCCAGGCAACCAGTTCCAGTTTCAGCTAACGCCCAGCTTCCTGCCACGCCCCCTGCCCCGCCCCCTGCCCCTACCCTGCCTTGCCCCTGCCCAGCCCTGGCCTGCTCCTCCAGGGCGCGCTTGATAAAGCTTAATGGTATTTGACTCTAACAATAA